AATTGTCCAACACTGCCTTTTTTCGCAAATACAGTTCGAGCTACTGACATGCAGGCCTAGGAAACCTGGATGGTTTGTCACATGTTTCCAACTTTGAATCACTTCGCTGTTCGAAAACACAAATTTTTTTAGATTTTCATCTGTTTATTAATTGCTAAATATTTGTAAAAGACCTTATGCAAATTTATACTATTTCAGCGTCAAACCAACACTGAAGAAAGTATCCAAAACTGATAGCAGGTAAAAGGTTTCAATGATCTTTTCCTTGATTTTGCACGCCTCATTGTACTTGATGGAGACAAAAGAACAAAATACTGAGAACTCACGTTCAGGTTTGATAAGCTGAGGAAGAAGGATCAGAACTTCGTCAACTTCCGCAATAATTTGAAAAACGTGGAAAGCAAAAAATTTGCCTTGAAAGAGGTTTGCTTTCAGTAATAGTCTGTTGTTGACTTTACAGCATTAAATAATTAGCAGCCCCCATCAGGTTTGCCGGCGCGAGCATGTTTTTTTCTTTATAACATTGTCTGCCTCAACTTCCACATGCTGGAATGAGGAATTTTGGGAAATTGTAGGTTTGTTTCAGCTATTCTTCTCCACGAAATAGTCATGAGCCGTACTTACAAAATTTTTAATCCAGCTGAACTGATTGCCTAGTTGCAAAATTGTTAACATCAACAACTTTTTTCTGCGTCCATGTATGAAATGTAGAGAAAAGCGAAGGTTGATCCCTTTCGCACTTACCCGCACATTATCGTGGACCAAACTCAAAAAAAATTTCAAACTTACAACTTTTTTCTTTGGTTATGAAGATACAAAGTTTCAGCTTTTGCACACGTCCCTTCATGAGACTTGACGGGTGACATGAAGGTTCCCCATGCACTTGCTTAAGTGCGACCATAGAAGAAGATTTCAGCACTCTAGCTGCTTTGGTTGCAGAATTACAAAATTGCCAGCATAAAATTCTCCGTGTTAGTAAGTTTAGGTAGACACCTTAGGGTTACAGACCCACTATGGGCAGCAAACACTCTCATAAGTCCAGTCTGGTCCCCAAGCTGGCATAAGACCAGCAGCGCTTTTGTTCACGGTTTAAACTTTGACATGTCCGTACGCGAGATCTAGGCATGCGTGAAGCCTGAATTCAAATTCTTTGGGTTACGCATGGGCAGAGAGCATCATCCTAAAATTTCACCAGTTGAATTTATCTGATCGGCTTTGAACAGTATCAAAGACTGTTTGTTAGTGACCAGCAGATGCTGTTGAGAGAATGC